TAATGAATATTCATTAGTGTGTCCTAATTAATTTAACTGAGTGTACATGGGGAACCGTAGGTTTTGTGTTTGTTCTATAACCAGTACACTATTTAATATTTCAATGTGTTTCAGAACTTTTCTAATGTTTTTCATCTTTCTGACCGGCGCCTTCCTCACTCTTATCTCTGTGTGTTTCTGCAGTTTGACCCAAAGCTGACTGACTGCAGGGAAACTGTCAGGAAGTGGCTTCATTAGGCGCCACAGCAGGAGGAAGGCACCAAGGAGCCAAAGAGACGCCAACCAGAGTCAGACCTGTTAGCCCAACTAGTCCTGTTTCCTGGTTCATACAGAACAAACTGAACCTTCATGGACAATAGGAGTCAAAAAGGAGTCAAATNCGGCGCCTTGTAGACCCGACATTCATGTTGCAGAACGTGGTGAGCAGCTCTGAAACCAGCTCACATAAAGGTTTTCTAGAGGTTAATTTATTAGTTTATTAAACCTGATCTTAGAAATGTTGGTTTTAAAGCAGTAAATTAAAGCTCTGCCTCTGACTGAGAGGCCTGTGTTACAGGATTTCTGTAACGCAACAATAAATCTGTTTCTGGAACACGAGCAGAGAACCTGGAGCAGAGCTGAAGCCCCTGAAACGAAGAGAAAGCTGTCAGGAGCAGCTTGATCAGAACCGCAGATTCTATATGCGGTTCTGATCCAGACTCTTGATCGGTTATACAGAGCCTTTGGTCAGGTTTATTCCCAGATAGCAGGTGATGGTAATTCAGTGTTGAATTAGTAATAATGGTTGTTTCTGGTTGAGGGCGCCGTCATCCAGTCGTAGCCCAGTAACCAACGCTGAAGAGATTCATTGAGTCAGTGTGTTTTGTAGTCGAACTCTAATGAATGAAACACCAACGTCTAATCCAGTGTTTCCAACCTTGCTCCTCCAGGCACTGCCCTGCAGGTTTCAGGCATTTCCCTAATTCAGCACACAGGATTTTAATTGACGGCTCATTAGCAGGTTTTGCTGAACTGCACTCATGCAGGTCAGTTTGCCTTGAGGACCGGCGTTGGTAAAATCTGATAATCAATTTTGAATCTAAGTGTGCTGTATGTCGCGCCCCCTCCCTACTTTTTACAGCCTTTATTTTAAATATTGATTCCCTCATTTTAACATGAGTGCAGCATCATAAATGCTACATTACGCTGCAGCTTGATGGGTAAATGTTACTGTATTTGTCAACTAAGATAAATAATAAATATTCATTAGTGTCCTAATTAATTTAACTGAGTGTACATGGGGAACCGTACGCTTTGTGTTGGTTCTATAACCAGTACACTATTTAATATTTCAATGTGTTTCAGAACTTTTCTAATGTTTTTCATCTTTCTGACCGGTGCCTTCCTCACTCTTATCTCTGTGTGTTTCAGCTGCTGCTCTGCAGTTTGACCCAAAGCTGACTGACTGCAGGGAAACTGTCAGGAAGTGGTTTCATTAGGCGCCACAGCAGGAGGAAGGCACCAAGGAGCCAAAGAGACGCCAACCAGAGTCAGACCTGTTAGCCCAACTAGTCCTGTTTCCTGGTTCATACAGAACAAACTGAACCTTCATGGACAATAGACTGATGTTCTGACAGAAAGGAGTCAAATATGTTTATAGATCTATGCCTCTTTTCTTATATAAAATGTTATATCAATGTCATGTCATTTTTAACCTTCTGTACACACATTTTTGGAAATATGTTAATGATAACTATGAGTGACATAATGTCCATCATCTGCCAATAAAACTGTTTCACACATCACAACATAATGTGGTGTAGACCTTTCAGAGCAAACATGTACATGAATCAATATTGGTTCCTTATTGATTCAATATAAAACCAACCCAAACGTCTCAATATGGATTCAATGCTGTTTCATGTTGTGCTGTCTGGGTTCTGGTTGCTGCTGCCATGACGACAGTTTGATTTTTCTTTAATGAACTGAAAGAAGCAGAAAAACCAAACATGATGAAAAGTCCAGACTGACCTTTGACCTCCTGAGCTGGACAGTCTCCTGGGAACTCAGCCCGCTCCGGGATCCCGTTCACGGTGAAGTGAATCGTTTTGGATGTCATGTTGCTGCAGCGGGAGCTGCTGCAGTCTGATCATGATCCCAGAGACGCTGCTTCGTCTTCCTCCCCTCCTCTTCATCCCCTCTTTCTCTCCTCCTCTTCCTCACCTCTATGGAGCTAAAACTGTCTCATAATCCACAAATGCACAAGACGAGATTCACACTTACGAGCTCCTTCTGGCCTGTTTGAATTTTGAGACTCTCCTGACGTCTCAAAATTCAGTCTTTTTTTTAAATAAATGGTCTATCTGATTGGGTGATCAGCAACCAATCAGATAGCTTCCTTGTTTCAGCCAATCATATGAATAGAGCCCTAGTTGGAGTAACCTATTTTTCAGCCAATCACATTAACCCATTCCAACAGCGCTGTAACTTTGACGAAGCACCGACAGTTTAGTCCTCAGCCTGGCTTCTGGCAGCGACAGAGGAGCGGAAAGTGAAATATCTAATATATTAGCTATTTATCTCCATGTTATCGTTATTAATGTTAATCGATTTACTTGTGCAACTATCATCACAAGCTGGCGATCTTCAGCACACCTAACTCCTTTATTAGCGCATCAGCAGAGCTCTGGTGACTAAGCTATGCTACCGAGCTATGCTAGCACTGCTGCATGCTAATAGCAGCAGCC